TAAAATTCTGAATTCAGAATAATTATTGTATTCGTGATTCGTGGTGTGTTTACTGTCTACTGGTGTTGCTGCTATACCCTTACAGGCATTACAAATATTTACAATGTTGTTATTACATTTTAAATCTCAGAAAATTAACTAATTTACTATTTTTTTTTTCAGTTTTTGTCTTGATATCCTTTTTGACATTCTATACCAGTCTGCTGAGGCCGTTTTCTAAAAGTGATGTCTTCCCCTGACGGTTCTACATATCTCTAGATTTGTTTCTCATGATGGGGTATGTACAATTAAATTATAACAATCATAATATATTTATATGTTTTATATAACATCAAACTAATTTATGTTTAAAAGATAAAATTAAAACATTTTAAATTTTTGTGTTTATAATAATATAGTGATATGAAATGGTTTTAAATCCACCGATACTTGCTTTCTTACTTGTTTGAGTTGATATACTAACTACTAATTAGTATGTGGATAGTGGATTTAAACCGTTTAAGTCATGTTGAAAATATAGTAATTTACCAAATCTCTTACACAGTGGTGTATTTAGTATTTTTTGTAGGGGGAGGATGACAAGTATTTTAGCTTACAGATTACGATGTAATAATTATAATATAGTAATACACATGTATTTAAAGAGCCATGGGGCGGATTTGTCCCCATATCCGCCTCAGTAAATACGCCGCTGCTCTTACACAATGGATAGAGCCACTGTTGTCTCATTTTATTATATTTAAACACATAGGTAATTATCTAAACTTATTTCATTCAAGGTTTTAGGTTTTTATTATCAAATATATTTTTATGTTAGGTATTTTAAGTTTATAATTTGGCCATTTTGGTAAAATCTTACTATGTATTCTGTTGACAAATAAACTGTATGTATATCAGATGATGTTTTAGTTCATTTCCCTCTTGATTTAAATTTTAACAGCAAGACTCATTAGTCATTACCAACAGATTTGTCAGTTAGAAATGGTTCACTACATATATTATTGTTCTTTTTTATTTTTCTTACAATAGATCCTCCAGTATATTAAACAACATTGATCACAAAACATCTAATTCAGTCAAACGAGCAGTTATATCATAATCATGATCAATAATTTGTGGAATATAATGTATTCTTCATTATCCCTTTGATAATTATAAATTGCATTTTTTCTTTTATTCGATCCCACATAATGAATATTTGCACTATCAAAAGTTGAAAAATTACCATATGTGGAGCTACCCGCTTGACTCCATACCAAAAGACAAGTTCATACAGATTTATCCAAGCATATAAAGTTTGAAAATAGTATTAAAATGCAACGATAACCCTGGATTTTTTTCATGAACTTCAGACATAATAAGCATGCATTTTTATATGTTTGTTTTATAATATGAATAACAAAGAAAACAAATATTATAATATTATAAATTTAATTAGAATGTAATAAATTATAAAAAGCCAATATTGGATATTTATTTTATTAGGTAGGCTGTGATAAGTGATAACAGTACTTCGCGTAGCCACAAAAGTGAAATTCCCTCTTTATATTATGCTGGTGACACGTTTTATTTCTTATAGCTCATCTATTGTATAATAATATGATCCAAGGTAATTTATAGTTTTCAATACTGTATACTTATAAAATATAAATACATAATGTATTTTTATGTCTATGACATACGCCATACACCTATAAAGATTTTTATTGATCTATGGCCGATTTGAAACACAATAATATAGAATTTTATTGTTCTTAACTATATTGAAATCACAGATTTCTATACTATACACATTTTTATACTCTCAACTCTGTACCATATAACTACATAAGAGTAATCTCAAACGGGCTAGCTTTTGTGCATGGTGGCGGCAATATGTGTGGCTCACGTGAATCAAGTGCTGTGCAATGGGAGCTTCACTTAGTATTTCAATAGCTGCCTTCCTAGCTTGAATTTTGTTATGATTTACACGGTAGAGCGATTTTTTGGTTATGACCAATCTTCAGAAATGAAAGATAATGACAAAAATTGACAAAAAATGATTTATTGAGGTGTGGACTGTAAGATAAAAATCAGTCGCCCCCTGAGGTTACTCTCATATTATGAGATAGAGTTATTAATTTATTAATCTGTGATTAGAATATTATTAATATAAGTATTTATTTTTTTTTATTTTTTTTATTTTTTTAGTGTTATCTCAAATACATTGATCAACTGGATATGTGTGTCATGTATTAGTTCTTCATTAACATTAATATGGCTACAGTATGGAAAGAAAAGAACTAAGAACTGCACCAAAGTACTGTTTTATGAACCTATTAACAAACAAACTTGCAACTGTCGACATTCATTTGATATAGAATGTTTATCTCCGAATTGTGCAAGCTCTAAAACTAAAGAAATTATTTTGTGTTTAAAAAGCGCAAGAAAATCAATGGATATTTGTATGTTTGCCATATCTAATAAGCCCATTGCAAATGAGATTATTGCTGCCCATAAACGAGGAGTATTGATTAGGATTGTAGTTTGTAATTGTATTTTATTTGAATCGAAAGAAATTCAAAACCTTAAGAACTTTGGTATTAAACTAAAATACCAAAAAGACTTTAAATCTAGTTATATGCATAATAAATTTGCTATTGTCGACTCTACATGGTTGATTCAAGGTTCCATGAATTGGACACATCAAGCTACCTATGGCAATTGGGAGAGTTCTATAATAACAAATTTACAAAGTTTAGTCATTTCATATACCAAAGGTTTTGAAAAAACATGGGAAAAAACTATTTTAATTTCATAAAAAATATCTGTATTTTAAATATTCAATTTAAGTTTAATGTAAGTGAAATATATTTTTCATATTTAATTTGTTAAAGAAAAGTTATTTGTATTATCTCAAACATTAAATTTTTTATAACTGTTCATATTTGAAAAAGTACATACCATACAATTTAAACAAAGCCCTTTTGACTGGTAAACATTTTAGTACTAAATTCTGCATTGTAGAAACTACATATTATGAAATTATTATCAATATCTAATTAAACGTAATATTAAAAAAAATATGGTAATATTGATTTTTATGTTTATTTATTTGTGTTTACTGTTTATTGTATACAAGGTATACTCGTGAGATCATATATTTTTGATACAAACATTATAAACTATTCATCTTTGTGAAACCAAATATTAGTGTTTATACTCAAAACTAGAAACATTGTATAAAAAAGGCTAGACCAAAAACTATATTTAAGTTAATGGTGCATCAACATAACTTGAACATTTTTCATCGGGTTTAAAGAAAACAATTGCATGATAAACCTAAATGGTGAGCTAACACTGTTAAACCAACTACTCAAGTCAAAAAGTTATTAAATATAATTTAAAGTTCCTACTCATAAGATTATTATTAGATTATTATTATTATTATATTATTATATGACTACCTAAAAATCTGGTTAATCGATGCTTTTAAATAGTATGTTAAACATATTGTAGATTGATACTTATAATATACAAAATAACTATTGTGTAGAAGTCTATGATTAGATCACATTTTGGACCCATAGACCTATAAACTAATGGACAGCAACAAAAACAATTCAACTATTTATAATTCCATATCATAACTTCATGGATTATTTATGATCTGCGATACTTCGATATTTTGGTACTTGCATGACAACAATGTTGTGTTGTAAATTTCGTTGATTAATATTAGATTCTGAGCGGAGCGAGGGATCTAGTGGTTTTACAATGGTGTTTATTTTTTATCCTGTATACAAAATTACTACCAGAAATAGTGCTTCGATTTCAACTTATAGTATCTTATCTTTTAGCAAATTGGATCAAGATGGTACATTAGAGAGGTAATTTTTAGATTTTCTCAATAGTTATTTAATGGAAAAACCACCGAAAGATTACGAAAAACCGTTAAAAATGGGATTTTAATTTCTGCCGCTTTGTTTATCACCATAGAAACGAATAAATAATTATAATATTAATTAAACTAACATGATATTATAATAACTAATAATAACAATATAAAATATTCAGACTGACAAACCGTCTCCGCTCAGTATCCTTTTTCTTACACAATGTTATTATAACATTGAATTCAAGTTTACAATGACCCACTTGTAACATACTGTACAGCAGAGCGACATCCACTTACCCGCTTATATAACTTGATACTTATAAATGTACCTAGTAATTAATAACAATTCGATATTTCGATCGTTCAATAAAATATTTAAATATTATCGTACATTTCGCAATAGTGTAATACTACTAATACTTCGAGATGGACGACGACGAACGCAATATCGGTTTTATTATTTGTAAACAACAGTGTTATCACTTATCAATACACCTCGATAATATGATAAAAAACCGATACTCTGCCGCGATAATTTACAGGTATAGTAACCTGGTAGGCAATATACCGTGTGCAAGGTATTGTGTATTATCTGTGTAGCATGACGACGCACTTTCATTGGACGAAGTGTCGGTACTGGCGAGCCGCGGTCTACGGGTATCACAGAGTCGCCGCCGACACACGATAAAGTTGTTCGGAAAGATTATTTATTATTATTATTATTATTATTTAATATATTAATTTATTATTGGCCATTGCATAATACTCAATAACAGTGTGAGCTGCAACTGATGTAATAGCCGTCGCTCGTAGACCCCGACTCGACGTTATTGCCCGTCCCAAATCGCGTCGTTCGATAGTTTAATCTCGTCACGTAACAGGGACAGTGTACGTTCCATTCCCGCGATCCCGTCGAACGGTACAATAGTAACAACACTCGCGGCGTCTTAGACCAGACCCGCGGAAAACGCCGCCGAACCGACTGGCGCGCGCGCTCTCGCCCGTTCTCAGTCGTCTACCTCGCGGGAGTGGCGATACCCCTCCGCGCTCGGCCGCCCGTCCCGTTATTACTTGTTAGCAAGTCGACGTCCCGTGGTCCCGTTCCGTGTTCCAGCCGACCACCATGGCCGCTTTCAGTACCGCGTTCGCGGTAGCCGTCTGCTGTTTCGCGCTGTTCGGTTCGACGTTCGTGTCGTCCGACGGTGGCGCCGGAAATCCGTCCAAGAGCGTTCACCTCGGCGGCAAAGGACCGATCGAAGGCCAACAGACGCTCAAGTTCCTGTACTGGTGAGTGTGGACGGACCGTTCGGCGTTTGCCGTTTACCCGATCCGAATGATATTTCCTTGGCCTTGAATTGTGTTTTTTTTTTCATTATTTTGTCTAGGGTTGGGACCCCCTTTGCATTTCATCTCTCGTTAATGTCTAACCTAACCATGGTGTGAGCACTGCGCAGGACGCTGTGAACGATTACATTTATATCATCATTTAACAGCGTAGTACGTTTATTAGTCATGCTAAGCTTGAAATGTCTATTGAAAACATACTTATACGAGTTTAAATAAAACAACATAGTATAGGAAAACCAGCATTATTTTGTGAGCGTTCACTTATCTTGAAATACATAATAGGTATTTAATTAATGTACACTTGAAAAGTTTTTACTTCCTATGGTTTTCCACACTACTATTCACTATGCGTTTTTGTTTTGGTTGCTGTACATTGAATTCCATTGATACACCTCTGAAAAACTGTTTCATTCTTACATCATTATGTTCAGTAAATATTGATTTTTAATTTATTGCAGTTCTATCAAACTCCAACTCTATAAAGGCGTATAAAAGCATCAACAATATATTTTTGTATTTATATTCTTTTAGCATCTTATTGTATTTGGTATATTATATTATTTTTATTTTTTATTAGTTACTCTTGCGGATATCAAAAAGCATTTGATCAATACTCAAGTATTCTTAGTGAAAAATACCCTCATCTACACATTGAAGGAGCAAATTATGACCCTTCTATGGCACATTTACTAGCAGCTAAAGTATTGGTATGTAGATCTTAATAATATTCTAATATACTCTTATTCCAAATAAGTTTGGAAAAAATCATCATGAAAAGACGCAGCGGCTCTATCGTTCCAAGAGTGCGCAGTTTTTCCAAACTTATTTGCAATAAATTATAAAACAAGAATAATTTTGATTAAAAAATTATTATTTTATTTTAGAGCCTAGCTAAAATGGCGATTATTATTGCCATTGGATCTGGAATCAACTTATTCGAATATATTGGCAAACAGCAACCAAACTGGTGGATCTGGTGTACATCTAATAAAATCTACGCTTGTCTTGTGGTATTTTTTGGTTCAAATATGTTTGAAGGAATGCTTATTTCAACTGGTGCATTTGAGTTGTATTTTAATGGTAAGCATGTAAAACATATTACCCACTGCAGCAAAGAAGGTCGTAACTCTGTTTTCACAATTTTTTTTTTTCAAGTGGTCATTACTGTTTTTGTGTAGTACCCACGAAGACGGTAGTAACCATAGATATATATTATTAAACTAGATAGCCGACTCTGTATAGACTATGCATACAAATAGAGGCATCCTATGTCGCCATATGCAGTTTGGGCACTGTTTACAAAATATAGATGTTATCAATCCTCGTGATATCAATTAATTAAAATGAAAGTTCTTTTAAAATAATAATGGAGGCTGAAAAAATCCTTTTAAATTTAACAAATAATCTAACAAACCTTAACATACCCAATTCAAATAAAAAAATAATGTACCAATGCACTAATAAGTTGTCTCTTGATCGTAATATATTTAGTGAATTAGATTGCAATTGTAGTCTATTGGAACGACCCCATAAAATTACTTTAATTTCCTTACTAATAAATAGATATTTAAGCGTCAGATTAAAATCATTTGGCAAAGAATATTCTGCATTAGTAAATACTACCAGTAAACGACATAAATTAAACAAATTAATTTTGTTTTCTAATCATTAAGTATTAACTTAGTAAGAAATTATGTATAATGTATGAATTAAGGTTTTGCACTTCACTTTCTATTTTTTAAAATGTAAAATATAATATTTTACAATATTTTTACAATTATGTTGTTATTATGTTAACACTTAATAACAGAATCTTTTGTTATTATACTTCATTAATTCAAGGAATTTAACCTGATTTCTTTGTATGTGCAGCACTAAACAAATGTTACTTGCAATGTACATTATACTTAGTGTACATATTCAGATTTTAAAATGAAAATTTTAGTTGCTACCTAGCAAATGTTCACAGTTTTCTGGTAGTGCAAGTACTACATTTTCACAGGCCAATATACATTATACACTACTGCCTACTGGAAGTGAGCACTCAGTATTAGTTCTGGTCACTTGAGTGTTATTCAATAATAAATATTAATTATTAATAAGCAATGCGGCCAGACTTCAATAATTGAAACAAGTCGGCTATCTAGTTTAATAATATATATCTATGGTAGTAACTGCATTTTATTGTATAGAACATCTTTGATTGTTTTATGCTACTATCAGTTTCGCAGAAACTACACAAAAACAGTTATGACAACTTGAAAAAAAAAAAATTTGGAAAAACAAAGATTTGACCTTTTTCACTGCGGCGGCCGATATTATCCTGCTGGAATATTATATGCTAATGATTTATTAATTTACAGATATTCCCGTTTGGTCGAAATTGGAAACTGGAAGGATTCCTCAGCCTGCTGAATTATTACAAATTATTGATAACTATTTATTGTTTGATAACCCATACCCTGCATAAGTATTCCCAAACATTTAATTACCCAAAAAATGATTTCTTCTTTAATCAAGTAATATTCTGTTTTTTTTTTAATAAGTATAATATTTACCATATTGTTTTATTAAATGCTTTAGTGATTATATCGTTAGTAAACAAAAAACATAAAACTTTCCTACTGTTCCTAGTGAATCAGTGAAGGCAAACCAAGTCTCAATACCTCTGTATAAACATAAATAATCTAATTGACGTTTTAGGTTTGTGTCAGTAAAAATTTAATACAAACAAACTATTCTAAACGAATAATTTTTAAACATTTCTTATCGCCCGTTTCAAATAAATATGTTACACTCTCAAATCACGTTAACATACACACATTTAAATATTGTTTTAAGTACATTTTAAATAATGCCGAATACTACAAATGTTATTCGGAACTATTATTGTCATAATTTTTTGTCAGCCAGCAGCCTAAACATTTTTTGGTTTTTATTAGTTACAAATGCCATATATTCTGTAAACACTTTTAAAAATCGATTCTGTTGCCATATTCTTTGTTCATCAATTAAACTTTTTTCTGTAAAATACAAATTATAATTTGACAGTCTTTGGTGATCAGTTCACCATGCCTGTAATAGACCATTAATGGATTTTCATGTAACTTTATACATTCCATTCTATTATAAGTGGACGATTTTGTACCTTTTGAACTGATAAAATAAATATTGACAAAACTTATCATAATATGCAATTGTTACATTTTCTTAATTTATTTTATTATTATGAACAAATATTAATTAACTCATAGTTATTATTGTTTTAAAAATTAAAGGTTTCATGCAACTTGTTTATTTTAAGTTATTTGTTTCCAAATACCATTTTTCAAATTTTAACCATTAATGCCTTGTTTAAAAACATTATTTCATAGTTAACTTATGACGACTTAACTGTTAAAATCCGAATTTCAAAGTAAAAATAATCTTATTTTTCTTTCAACTGTTAAAATTGTGTTTTTAATGAATGAGTGCATATATACATTTTAAATTGAACTCATTTGTTTATATTTTATAATATTATATATCAACAAACAATTAACTGTATTGGAATCAGCTTTTAAAAACTAAACTGGGATTGAATTAAGTAAATCAAAATATACCAGAATTGAATTAAAGTATAAAATATTTAACAAGGATCTAAGCAGTTTGTCTATTTTAAAACTTGTATCGAGTAAAATGTTGTAAGAAATTTGCATTTCAAAAAGAAAACTGCTGACATCAAACCCAAAAACATATTTTGATAAACTATTAAAATGTATTAACTTTGCCTAATAGTGTTAATTCCAATTGTATAAGGAATTGCATTTTATGAAACAGTAAAAATACATTTTCATCTATTTGAACAAATAGTGAGACGGCTAATAAATTAAAACAACAATGGCCGACTCTTACTATTCGTTAATTTGTTTGCCATTTTAAAATGAACAATCTCTGTTTTTCTTACATGTTGTAATTTATTTATTCTGAATATTCTTAAAATAATTTTTAAGATATATTTTTAGGTTTCATGTGCAAATATTTGAATAAACGTAAGAATCTAAACCAAAGAATTAATTGTGTTTTTTTTTCAATTTACACTTAGGTTATAATCGTTTGAATTTGAACATCATGATTATACAATTTGTTTTATCAAAAAAATGACAGTGATTTTGTAATTACCATGGAATTTAAAATAGTGTGTACATTGATGTCTTTGTTTTCTTTCTCAGACATAAGTAGATCTAAATGCTCTTGAAAGTTTTTTAGTCGTACTAGTGCATAGTTTTGAAATGTAAGAAATAAATTTAAGTCTTGCAAAATTAGATGTTTCGTAATTATATATTATGTTTTTATGCTTGCTTAAGATGTATATGTGTTACATATGCGATATACCTATTGATACTTTTTAAGTATACTTCCTACCACATATTATGTATTATTTTATAATTTGGTAAGGTCAACCTAAATACCATATTTTTGTTTAGTTTAATGAACGCTTTACGATATTTACAATGCTTATTAATATTACCTTAACCTATGTTTAAGACCTATGAAGTAAGATACTTAGTACTTACCTTAATATATGTAGAATTTGTGGTTATGTAATAAAAATTTACTTAGTACCTATATTTGTATTTTGTTATACAACTTAAGTACTTTGCAGTACTGGTAAGTATATTGTATCAATACACTAGTGAACATTACAAATATTAAACTAGATATGTCTATTTGTTCAGATTAGCTGCGAAAACGTGATAGGATACAAAAATATAATAAATTAATGGTTTCCAACATGAGGCCGGCAAACCATTTCAAAAATATTGTTTATGTTTATTTTGTAGGTTGGCTGAGGAACAAGTGTATTTTAAACAGCTTATGGAAAAATGGTGGCAATTTAACCAATCTTGTGTTAGCACGACTTCAAGTTAATTACAAATAGTTATTGGTACTTATTGGTTATCGCTACAACCATAACTGTTTGGTAAAAAATAAACATTTCGGTTATCAAAAGGTTGTTCTCTAAATGTTGCAAAAAGAAACATAGAGGTCCAGCTCGTCAACATCTAGATAGTGATTTGGTCGAATTCATCAACAATAATTATTTAGTCATTGGCTTAAAATGATTTATATAACAAGTGATGATAAAATCATAAAAGATCCCAATTGAAATATTGATTTTTGTAGGTTACTTGATAATATTAATTAAAGGCAATAATAAACACGGCCCGAAGAAAAAAAATATTCAAAACTAGGGCCAGAATTTTTTCAGGTAAATATTTTTGGAGTGCAAAACTAAACTAAGCTCGAATAAAAAAAATATGTCTAGTCTTCTCTTATCTAATTAGTAGGTCTGAGGACTTCTCGTTTTTTCATTTTTGTCTAGAAATGTAGCAGAACAATGTGAGTGATATATAAATAAGTTTCATAATACTAGTCAGTTACACTGAAAATTTTATTTTGCATAGTTTTGCATATTTTGTCGTAATTGCATATAAATGCACATTTGAGCATATTAGAAAAATATATGAACATACTTTGCCTGTTTTCGATTTAATAAAGTCAGCTTGGACAAATAAGAAAATATTTTGAAAAATTGTAAGCATAAAATGTTGGTCACTGACAAAGTAAGTGCATATTGTGTATACATTTGGAAAATTGAATGTTTAAAAATAGTAGGTACTATAGGCTATAGGTAGTAGGTACACTAATAGCTGCATATCGGTCGTTTATCTAACCGATAACACTGTAACAAATGTAACAGGTAGTGTTTATAATTTATTGCTAATTGGTAAATATTCAATTTTTATAAAGTAAATTATTAAACTATCTTTTTATATATTTGTTTTCAAATTGTAAAATTTAAATAACAAAAGTCATATTATACATTTTTTTAGACCATATTTTAAGTGCATATTCGTGGTCTTTTTAGTGCATAAGTGCATACGTATTTTCAGGTTTATAAGTATTAGAAGTCCTCAGCCCTAATAATTAGTAAATTACCATATAATATATTTTAGAACCATTCAGCATTATCCATTAGACCTGTTATCAATATGTATATTATGATAAGGAGATAGGCAGTAGGGACCACTGTACGCGACCTATCAGTATCGATCCAAGCGACGGATGTGATGGTTCTCTAGTATGTGTTTAAAAGTCTAGTTAATTATAAAATAAAGATCAGTATTTTGTGCCAAATATTGTGTGTTTTTACAAGTTTATAACAATTCAGAAGTGGGATTCTACTGCCACACCACAGCGGATGGTGCGTGAAATTCGTTTGTGGTCCGAGCGCAGGAAGAGTCCACCGAACGAGAAATAATATTGAAGCCGCCATCTTGAGGTAACAATATTCTGCGAGTGCCGTTTGGGATCACGAGGTACGATTACGCGGGACAAATTGCGACGTCTAAAAATCGTAACCTCAAACTTCGAAGTGCGAGTTGTAGTGTGGACCAACACGACGGTCGACGCTAGTGACGGATTCACTAATCGTGTAGTAAAGTGTATACCGTGGTTAAGAGTGTTGTAATCAACGAATAGGTGATAGTGAAGATATCACTGTTGATGTTTATTTATTTTATTGTTGTTTACTGCGATCGTGTGTACAATGCCGCTAAATAATGAACAAATTTCGAGTGGCGGTACGTCAACCCAGTTCGATGTGAACGAACTGGTAAGAGCACTACTCGAACAGAATCGATTACGAGAACAACAGATGGACGCAATACTGTCCAAGTTAATGGAGAATAAATCTGAAGTGCCTGTGACGGCGACTATGTTACCTACCATCATGCAAACGATACCAAAATTTAACGGTGAATCGGGTGATACGGACGTAGCCTCGGAGTGGTTAAATGCGTTAAACACTGCCTCCGTGCTGAACAAGTGGCCCGATGAATGCACGTTGGAAGCCGGTCGATCACAATTGGAAGGAGCTGCGAAACAATGGTACCTGAGTCACATGGACCAACTGGACACTGTATCTAAGTTCACGGCAGCATTTAAGGCGATGTTCACTAGTCGGGAAAGTGTTACCGAAACGTGGAAGAAAATGAGTGAACGGGTACAACAGCGTGATGAGACGGTGTTCGCCTATTTTCACGAAAAAGTAAGAATGTGTCGACGATTACAACTGAACGCAGCAGAGACAAAAAAAATGATATGTATAGGATTACATTCCAGAGAAATGTCTACTGCACTACTGAGTAACGGACATGTTGACGAAGCGGAGCTCCTGACAGATATACGCACGTACATGGAGGTGGAGGCAAATCGTAGTGAGAGGTTTTCGTCAGTAGTAACCCACAAGAAACGAAACATATCGTCAGGGTCTGTAAGAAAAGTTTCGGATACTAGTCGTAAGGATGATGATGATGTGTCCACAAAAGTCAATACGTTACGACGTGAAAAGGAGGGTCCGCGATGTTATAACTGCCAGTTATACGGTCACATCGCCCGTGACTGTACTCAACCGCGGAAACCGAT